TGATATAAAATTCGTGGTGTTGATCTTCAGATGATAATACAGAGAGCATCTCTTTATCTGTTTTTCTGCTCCAGTGAGTGATAGGTATTTGTTCCAAGGTTTTTGGTGTCATTTCATTACTAGTTCTTTGGCTTGATTATCTCAAATTTTGATTTTAGTTGGGGGATTATTTTTTTTGCAACCAATTGATATCTTGCAAAGCTCATTTTTAAAGTTATAACAGAGAAATGGAATGTCAAATAGGAATTTATTTCTTCTGTAGTCCATCTTTCATATAACAGGGAGATCCAGGACTGCTGTAGTGCTAATCTCCGAAAATACAGTCAAGAAAAGAAAGCATAATATCATACTGTAAGCAGGAGTTCCATATATTCAATATTGTGGAAGGTGATTTTGGTATGTTTGTTAGTTGATTTTTTTTCTTTTTCTTGATTCTAGCTGGTTTTCATTATATGCATGAACCAAAGCATTTGAACGTTTTTTCCTTCCCTCTAGTTTATGAGTTACCTTGGCACTCTTAATCATGTTGTAGAACCTAAATATATGATTTTTCTAAATTATTTTCCCATTGATTTTTGGCAATTTGTGTAATGGGGAAATTAAGGTTCAGCCTGGGTTGTTTTGGGGAGAAGAAAAGATCAGTCACATAGAAAATTTTCAAACGTGGTATATATTCTGTGTCCAGCATGGTCTTTCCTTTAGCAAGTTCATAATCAAAATACCCTTATTTGGGCAGCTTTATTTCCTAATTTCTGTTTTGAGAGGACATGAAAATGTTGACCATTATCCTCAGCATAAAAGCATAAGTTAATATAAAGGTTAATTGCTCAGGTCTGTTTGGAAGAAACTAGTTCACAACTCTTACAGAAAGTAGGACATACTAACTAGGCTTACAGTCTCAGGGCTGAACCACAATAGATGACTAAAAATACTTTTTTTCCCTATGCCTTTTTGCTATTCTATTATAACTAAGTTAAAAAATGGTCCTTTAGAAAAAGAATGATTTTATTTTACCTCATGAGTTCATATTACTTTTGTTCTGCCACTTACCCATGCCTCTGAATAGGCCAGTAAAGCAAGATTTGCTGGAAAGTTCTCTGGGCTTCTTGGTCTCTGTGAGTTTCTTGTTACTCTTGAACAGCTAGACCCTACTTTGTTCAATATTGGGATGTTTAATCTGTCCTTCTCGTTCAATTCTTGCTGACATTTTCTTGCAAAAATCTGTGAGAAAAACAGTTCAATGTGCATGCTCCTTGTAGAAAACTAAGGATCAAACATAGGTGACTATCTCAGAAGATGCTATTATTTCTAAGGAGAATTGTATTATCCATCTCTTGAAAGTAACAGAATTAAAAAGAAAAGTTATTTTGGCTCTCCTTTATTTCCAAAAAGGTTTTTCTCACTGTCTCCCTATTGGAGAATGACTACAGCCTGTAGGTCCCTTTTTGAATCTTATAAATCTTTTACAGCCCTATTTTATATAATTTTGTGCTTTAGTTTTCATATATTCTATATATTTAATTTTATGGAGTATTTAGAGATAAATGGTAAACTGATTTTGTCTGGAATATGAGAAGTAAAAAGTATATTCATCTTGTAAATTCTATTGTCATTAGTTTCTGTGTCACCTAGCAAACAGATATACCTTGCCTAATATATATTAGGGAAAATTAGATGTACAGTCGGTATTCCTTTTTATTCTTATTATCTTCTGTATTTTTTCCCTTGCCCTGCATTTGTTTATCCTTGATTAATCTTGTGGATGTTTCTGGAAATGAAGTAGCATTGTCTTTTTATGATTTTTAAAACTGAAGATCTGAACTGTATAAATTCATCTTATTTTGACAGTCTTTGAGCTGATAAATCACTTAAACAAAAGATGTTAATAAGATATACTCATTGAGAATAGAGTCTTTGAGTTGCAATTGTATTTCATTGTTTATTTTGTACCTTTGTTTAGTGCTTCAGTTTTCTGGAAGAAGTCCCAGAATGTCCGGTGTGTTGTCAGACTGTATTTTAGAAGGGGTTCTGATGTTTTTACATGGAAACCTAAAAGAATGAGGGAGGCAGTGATTTCTTTTGCTAGAATTCATGGAGATTTGCATGGCTGGTTTTCTTTAATTTATTTATTTTTATTTTTGTTTTATCCATAGCATTTAGACTTGGATGGTCTTTTCCTTGTCTTGTTCTCATTCTTAAGGCTGAAATATTGAAAATTTATATAAAAATACACTGAAAATCTAGGGTCTCCTACAACCAGGAAAGAGGCTGAATTGGTTTATAACTTCAAATTTACACTGAGCTATTTTAGATTTGACTCAGTCTTTTGGTGCTCACATCTCTTTTGGCTTTTATGTACTGCTTGGAAATCAAAAAATGAGTTGGACTGTTGTGTTTTTTCAAGAATTCAGAAAAGGTAACATCAGAGAGGAAATAACAGTTTATATCTGTAACTACAGTTGTCTAGTTTGTTGCACTCAACAAAAACTTGACTCTTGACTGGAAAAATAATTTCAAAAAATAGAGCATTATGTTTCATAAATTATGTATTCTTTATCTTTCTCTTGAAATATTTTCATATTGTAGTAATTGTAATTATACAAGTTAGGGCAATTTTTTGATTGATTCCCATACCCTAAATCTTCTGTAATCTGGATATGGGTAAATCCCTGGAAACCGGATAATCTTTGAAAGGTTAAAACATCTCCTTCATAATTTCTAGTTCAAGGTAAAGGCCCATTTTTGTAGATTACTTCATATAGTCAGTCTAGACAATCTAATTATCAAAAATAATTTTTTACTTGTTTCCTCTTACTTACTGAAACCAATAAGGTGCTTAAAATAGTGACAAGTAGTGACTGTGTCTGTGTAATCACAATCATATTCTCGTTAATTGTATAAATGCCTCTCTTTTCCCAGTGCTTATGCAAATGCCTGCCTCCGTGGATGAAGGATTAATTCTCCTGCTCTTTGTGCTTAGTGTGTCTGCAGAGTATAAGTAACTTTGTACTATTGGCTTCTGTTCTGTTGTACTCTTAATGCTGTGAAAAATCATGTAGCAACAAGTATAAGTTTGGTTTCTTTTACTGAGTAAATTTTGTTATCTCTTCAGCTGAGAAGCAACTCAATGCCAGTAATACTTCTGTAGCTAATATTTCTCTTTAAATATCCTCTCCTTCAAGCTCTCCACATGTAAAACTCACATTGACTTCAGGGATTGTCCTATAAATTCAGATGTTGTGAATTTTGGACATTCGATGAGTGGAATATGCAATGTATATGTCTTGTTATTTAAGTGAAATTATGAAAATGGTAAAGCAAAGTTTGAAACTAACCCTTTTGTTTCCTTTTTCTTCTGAGTATTGCTACTTTGTTTTCTCTAGAGGAGATAAATACTAAAACTTTTGTTATGTTTTCCAATTTTCATTCCAACCTTGCAGCTACTGATTTTCAGATATATATCTCCTGAAAATAATGTTGGGTTTTTTTCTGGTTTTCATGCATGTTATTGTTTCACTCTCGAGCAGGGATTTCCTATTACTGTAATGTGAAGAATTTCAGTAAGAGAAGTCTTCAGAAGCAGGGAAATACTACAAAGCATACTCTAGGGTCAGCTTTGGATGCTGTGATATTATAATGCCTACAGTTTTTCTATGTTGTTACAACAAAGTGATTCTGATAATAAAATGGCAACCAGATTCCCAGTCCTGTAACTGAAGAGGATAAATGAGTAGGAAGTGACATTCAGAAGGTTTGCATATTTAGTGGGAAGCTGAACAAAACTAGTCCAAAAGAAACACTAGGTGGAGAGATGAGCTCTTGCCCATCTTGGGCAGTTGGGCACTTGATGCACTTACCTTAGGTGTCCTAGCTCAGGCTCAGAACTTAAGTTATCATCTGAGGATGATAACCAAAATAAACATTTAAAATTATAAAATTATGCTTTACAGGGCACATGCTTGTCATTGTTGCCCACCATTTGCCTATTCAATAATTCAAATAGCATTTGTCAGGAACAAGGAAGCCGTTAATCTGAACCCAGTTGATGGAGTTTGAATTTGCACTTGCAGTTTCCCTGAAATATACTTTAGTAAATAGGTTAAAAGTCTAGTTTGGGCTTAGAAGTCCTCTTCCCTTTGTCTTGAGAATGAACTTCAATGCATCCTGGAATACAAGACCTGGAAAGATGGTGACAGCATGTAAGTGGAAGTCTGACTCTATCTATAGAGATGTGGCATCTGGCCTAAAACGTGGTATATTATGCCTGTATAGGTTTCTGGTCTGAAAATTTTAATTTGGTTTTGATAAATAAAGAAGGTGCTTCTCTGTCAGGTTGTCTTATGAAGACCAAATTACTGAACTGCTTCTCCCTAAGGAAGATTTAGTCAGTTGTTTGTAAAGAATGCAAGAGAATAAAATGCTAATTACATTTCATTCCTCAGAAGAGCAGTAGGTCTTTGAGAAGCATATAAATATCTGCACTAAAAGACGGTTTGCCTTACTTGGTGATTGGAGCAGGTCATTTATGCAGGAAATCTATGCTATCTGCTGACTATTGTAATAGAAAAATAAGTAGATTTTTCTTTTGCACAAATAATCATATATAGTAACAAATCCTATGCCCAAAATCTCTTAAATTAAGTCTAGTCTTCTGAGAGAGCAGGTTTTAAGCCTTTTCAATTATGAGATAGCAGAAGAGCAAAAGGTTACAAATTAAACAAGAAAAAGAAAAGATTACTTCTAAGATGCTTTTAGTCCTAGAACTATTCCTTAGCATGTGCCATTATGTTCAGATAGGCAGTTGTAGAATCTTCAGTATCAAATCTAGGTTTCATTAATCAGAACAAAAATACATTTCAAGTGCATGGACCTTGAAGAAAAATAGCCTATTAATATCAGACAGCTTGGTACATTTCATATTGTATTTAACAAGCCACTTTGCAAAATTGTCTGCTTGTTTGTGATTTTTTTTTTTTTTCTCTTAAAAATGTTGTTTCCAGGTTGGATGAGTTAATTGAAACATTTCTCAAAGATAACGATCCTGATAGCTCTCTGGATGTTGGTGCTGACATGCGGAAGATCAAGTATTCCTTTGTTCATATGAAGGTATTTTTTTAAAAAAGAGGTGAAAATGAGGCTGGCATTCTGAAAATAACTTGGAAATATTCATGGCTGAAAAGTGTTAAAAGAAATTCAGTGCAGTTGAAAGGTACGGGAAAAGGGTAAAGTATCTGAACTTTAAATAGTTTGGAGAGCTCATAGAAAACTTAAATTTAGCTGGGAAAATTCAGCAGCATTTTGTGAAAACATCAGCAAGGATCCCAGCATGCAGTGAATTGTAAGAGCACTGGAAGTTACTGGAACCAAGACAAGTTGGTTTATATGGAGAGATGTTCTCATCTGTATTTCCAGCATTATTGAGGCTTTATTTTGGACAAACTATGTTGAAAGAGGTAAAAATGTAGGTTAAAAACACTATATCCCTTTATCTGTCACTTTAATTCTTCTGATGGTGTTGCAAGACCTGAATCATTGAAAAAACAAGAAGCACTTGACAGTTCTGAAATTGTAGAAGATAATACTTTATTTTGTGATATAGTTTTTCCAATATAATAGTGTATACATTCCTGATTTTAATTTATTGTCCTTAAATAATTGGTTTTTAATTATATTTTTAATACTGAAAGTTCTGTGATACTAGAAAACACTGGAGTTTATGTGTAGAAAGAGTAAAATAAATTGCACCCTTGCTAATGAATATTAAAAAGTACAATTTGTTTCATACTTGATACGATGAATATAATTTGACAGTCAACTATGGGATGATTTTTTTCTGCCAAGAGTATAAAAAGGTTTTACTTGTCTTACTATAGCTAGATGCTCTCAGAATAGAATACAGAGCTAGAGGGAAAGTTAAAGGGGTATGCTTTTTTTGTTTCTCTTTATAGCAAATTATAAATCATCCAATGACTTCAGGTAATAAACTGCTTTCACAAGACATCTCTGAAGAAAAAAACAGTAATGAAGAACTGGAAAAACTGAAAGGACTTCTGCAACAAAGAGACAATGAAATCAGTATCCTTTGTGGGGGAAAAAGTATTATTTGAGTTTGACATGATCTTACTTACAGCCCTGTTCCTTTGTGTGAGAGAGGCTGTACTGTGTTAAAGGAAATACTCAGTTCCCAGCTTTTATGTGACACGACTTCTGCTTTGCACCTGCTTCTCTTTCTGTTTTTACCAAAATCAAAATCCTGCATCCAATCACTACTTAGCTTTAGAATGGCCCAGCCAATAACCAAATATTGTGATCAGTCCACACCTAAATCATTTTCCACAAGCAAATTAAACTATGTGTTAGAGGGGGAAACTGATGCTATATAAAGACCAATCTATTACCTTACAAAGAATTGAATTTCCTGTAAGTGTTATTTTTAGCCAAGTGAGTGTTGCTTTGGGGACTACTGGGCAATTTGCCCTTAGAACAAATATAAAACTTGTACCTTTTACATTTAAATTTAAATCTTTTTGCACATAAAAGTGCTAAACTGCTCAGGCGTGCTTTGTCCATTTCACTGCCTAATAGGAAACACGAGTAGCTGCACTGCAGTGCGATGGGTGGGAGGTATTTTTAGCAGGTTGGCAGACCTGTGGGCAAACCACAGCCACTGCTGCCCCAACTTTGCGGCTACTCAGTGGGGAAAGTTTGTAATACAGCAGAGAAGTTAAAATATGGGGCTGTTTAATGTAAAGGTAACAGGGGTTTTCTCACAGTTATTAGTAAAGAGAAAAGCCAGTTGCATTCTTTGTGCTCAACAATTCCAGCTCAGTTTAATATGTCAAATAAGAATGGCATTCTTCACTGGGGTGTAGCATGTTACCTGTCTGAACTGAGGTGGCAGGAAAACTTCCCCATTTCTGCTCTTTCACAGGTAATAAGATTGTGTTTTTCCAAGGTGCAGTTTCAAATAAATTTAGCTAAAACACTAACTCATTTCTTTCAAAAAATTCTTCAGTTTTTTAAATGTAAATTTTAATGTCTGAATTCCCAGAAACATTTCCTTCTGAAATTAATTACTTCATTAGTATGAGAAAAAAGCCAAAGATTTCTATCAAATGCACTTGCACTCAACAGATTTATACAACTTTGCTCACAGAAGTAAAAGGAGGAAACTTGTTCAAACCCATGTAAGAGTTAAATAGAAGGAATATAGGAAGACTTTGAAGACACAAGACCAATTTAGGGTAGTAGTTAAGTGACAGCACATCATCACTAGAACATTAATAACATGTCTAACGTGGTGGGAAGTATGGAAGCTGTTGAATAAACTATGAGTTCCCTCTTGCCTACAGTAGCTAGAAGCTGTCATAAAAACTGAATTGGAAAGTATTTTATTATTATTATTACCTGGTCTAGTTAATAATATTCCCCAAAGACTACTTAGAATTTCTGCTGTTCATTAAGAAGATTAATTAGGATTAAAAAGAGTACCATATAAAAAATATATCACAGGGACTTCAGTGTTCCTAATTGAATGCATGCAGCATTTCCATGTCCTCTATAAGCTCTTAGGCAAAATGTATTTATATCTAATAAACTTCCAGTAAATTCACAGTGTTATTGCAAGAAATTTCCTAAAGACTTTTTCTGAATTTTAGTGAACTTTTTATTAAAAGTTTACAGATGGGATATACTTACAAGGCTACCTGTAAATGAAGACATTTTTTCTTTTGTTTGCAAGTTTTTTTTTAATTACAGAATTTAAAAAATTAAAAGGGACTACCACCATGGCCTAAGATCCTGTTTGTCTGTAAATGCTTTTATCAGGAGTTCATTGAATGGGAGCAGCCATTGTGGTCAGTGTGTGACTTTGTTATTGTTTTAGTAAAGAACTAATCTACTGTTTGGAAAAACTGAGGTGGATGAAAATAATCACAAAGAATATGTCCAACTTTATTTTCACATTCACACATGTGCTTCCATAATGTAAGTTGTTTCATGTTGGGGAAAAAAAAGGCTTATGGACAAACAATGATGGCAGTTGCTTTAAAAAAAAAATTCCTTAATATCTTTTGCAGACATTCTGGTAACTATGCTAAAAAAAGAAAAAAAGAAAGCACGAGATGCTCTTTCCCAGTTTAATGCCAGCTCTGCTGGTTCTACAGCCTTGGAGCAGTCCCCTTCTATGAGCTTGGAAGAAAATCAGAGTCCATCTAAGTGTTTTAGTCTGAAAGAGGCAAAAGTTTTGAGCTCTTCCATTCCCAGACTACCTTTTCTTTCCAGAGCAACAGGTTAGTGTAATTAATTATGTGAACAATTATTGGATCGTTCCAATATGATTTACAGTATATCTTTCAAATGTGAACAAAACAAGGAAGCTTTCTTTTCAGTACCAGTAATATTGTGGTAATTCTAGATCTACAAATGAGGGTTTTAAATTTAAAGGCCTCTAAGGTGCTGATGGCTTTTACAAACTTCTGTAAATACTCTGTTGAACAGCCCTATGGAACCATAGTATAAATTCAGTTGCAGGCCCTTGATTCTTTCAGAAACTTCACAGAAAAAAACAGGGGAATGAGCATAATTCATTAATAACTATAAAGAAATAATATTTTCCCCCTGGAAGATCCATTTCAATTTATCCATATAAAAGATACTACAGGATTTAGGTTCATGTTTAAATCACTGTAGAAGCAATTCAAACAATTGAAATAATATTGACCAGTTAGCATGGATTGCATAAGTAGAGCAGTTTTTATAGTGGTTATTTGAAAAGGGTTAAGTGTGGAGCATTGCAATTTTCTTGCCTTACATCATTTGATCTGGCTATTTATGAAAATAGGTAACAATATTCTTGCAAGTTGTTAATTTCAAAATCCACATAAAACAAAACTTCTAATAAATGTAGATAGATTTTTTTTGCATGGTTTCATGTTTTCTTCATTTTCTAGTTTAATTGTTCAAATAAAAGGATTTTTTTGGTGTCAACAGGTTCTAGAAGTGCTTATGTTTTTGTTAGTAAAGAACATACCTCATCCTAGATTATTACATATGACTATTACATATTCATGAGTTATATTTCTGTATACTTTTTATGCATTTGGGGGGTGGTTAGCTGAAAGAAAAGAGTTTTCAATGTGAAACTCAGACATGGCAGCTGGCAAACAGAAACTTAGATTTTGCTAGAGAACTAGTGGGAATGGAGTACTTAAATTATGTAAGGTTGCAAATTATCCTCTAAGATTGCACTGTAATTGAACTAGTCAGTTTTCACACTTGTAATTTTGTTTCGGTTGCTCGGCTACTGAGGAATACCACTGGAGACCTAACTAAGAACAGTTGAAATAGGACATGTGGATCATTATTGTTTTGTATTGTGCTTTTTTTCAGTTTGTGTCAAAGTCTGGATTAGGCTATTCTTGACAGCTACAGCAGAGGAATATGCAAATACAGTGTCCTAGTAATGCCCTAGGTTCTCTGCTGATGTGGGGTCACATAGCATTGAATTCTACATTAGTTAAAAATGATACCAGGTTACATGCTGTCAAATTTCTTTTTCTTGGATCCCAGAAGACCTTTTAGGAAGGAATGGATGGTAGGCAGGCTGCCTGAAAGCAGTGAAAACTTCCTGCTGCTGTAATTTTGTCAAGTCAGATGGCATAAGACAGTAAACAAACCAGAACTTGGTATCTTAGTGCAAGTGTTACACTGTAAAATGAAATAACTTGCCTTTTAATACCCATCCTCCATCACAGAGAGCTCTAAATTATAAATCCATAACTATATGAGGAAGAGTGAGCAAAATAATCTGACATGGTAGCTACTGTTACTATTGAATCATAATATCTTTTATGAATCTGAAACTGACATAACTGGCTATGAATTTAAATTATGTTTCAGATGAGTATTCCAGAAAATGCAAAGATAAGTTATTGGCATAATAACCTGAACATTACAAATACTTCAACAATATTGCTTTTAATATAATTATTTAGTTCATCATAAAGTATCTACTTCAGCTTTATTTGTTTTAATAATTCATACCTTCTAGACATATAATTGTAGAATTACATATAATCTTCCTTAGGAGTTGAGTCAATAATAAATTAGTAGTTTCAGGATGAATCAGAGAATGAATGAGTCTAGCAAAACAAGAAAAAAATCAAACTTCATCAGATGGTAAAGTGATAAATATTGTGTTGTATTTTACTTTTATTGCATTATAGCACTTCTGTACTTCTCATTTTTGATTTAGTTTATAATTTCATCAATTGCTGCTTGCCTCTTAGGATAATTCTGTCAGCATAGAAGATGTATGATGTAATTTTTCCTCCTGATAGATTTGTTTTTCTCCTAATATAAACAGTTTGGTTACCAGAAAACAGTGTGACTATTTAAAAATACAATAAATCTTGGTAGGAGGTTCAAGTGGTTGTACATGCTGGCGGATTTGAGAATGATTATTTTGTTCTCACAACAGATTTGTTTAGGATAATGTTTTGATCAGTTTGAGCCATTTCCTTTTTCTTTCATTGAGAAGTTGTGAAGTTTTTTGAGAGTTTTGTGAAAAATTTACCTCCTTTGTATCCCATGCATGATTTAAGATCACTTTCTGCTCTACACCATTAAAACACCTACATAAAAAATTATTCCTGCTGAAGGGCTGACATGCTGGCTTTGAAATGTAAGGTGAGAGATGGTTTCTATAAACAGATGATGCTTATGAATATCATGAAAGTAGTGATGATAACACACATACTGCTCATTTCTGAAAGCTAAATATTTTTGTCTTGTATTAAGATATTTTAAAATATTCATCTTGTCTATTTTATATATTATGTAATAATTTGGGGAAAATGATTCCTTCTATTGTCTGAAAACAGAAAGTTCCCTAATGCAAAGGACTGACTGAGGTTTTCCGTCAGACTCTCTTGTCTTTCACTTCATAGAAAAGACAGAAAAGTTTTTCAGAAAAATTAAATGCTTAGCAAACCCATATGTTTCTTGGAGCATTTTCTGTGTCCAGTAGTGTTTTGGAATATCTGGGAGCAGAGTCTTGGCACTGTGCTCATGACAGATCTTTGATTAACAAACACATGTAGTCATTTTATTGCTATTTGGCCTATAAAAGAGCTCACTTGGTGCATTTAGGACACTATTCAGAATTACTGTTGATCTTTCTCATTAGTCAGAAAAGAAAGTATGTTCTACATTTTCTGTTAGAGGTCCAGGAAAAAGTATACATTCCATTTGCTCTCCAGCTGAACTTCTACCAGCTCCAAGTAAGATGTAGTACATTTTTCATTGCTACTGTTAGATCTTTGTATATTGTTAAATCTTTGTAACAACTATTTAAAACAAGATGTGCTGCTTTGTTGATTTTGTAAGCATTAAATATTTCCTATAATGTAGAGTGATTATTTGCTATAATATATTTTTCATTATTGCCAAGTTTAAGGACCAAGCAGGAAGTATCAGACTTCACTGCTTAATTTAGTTGTTTCAAAAAGCCTTTGAAATAAATTCAGCAAATGGTAATAGTCAGCATAAGCTTTTGAACAATTTTATTGAACTTTACTTCTGATAAACTTAACAAGGTTATTTTCTGGTATTCCAAGTTACCAGATAAAATATGTATTGCTAGGGCTCCAATTTTTGTCACAATTATGAATGGCTGTCTATCATCAATGAGACACATTTGTAGCATGTAGCTGTGTACATTTTTTACTTTGTCATGTGCTGCTGTATATTTTGGTATCTCTTGTCTTTAAGATCACTGTTTTATTCTTTTTTAACCTTATGACATAAACAAAAAGTAAAAATTAAAACTCAAAGTAGTTTCTGAAACATAATTACCCTCTTTAAATGCACACTGACTGCTATAAATACCAAGCAGACTAACTGAATTTATAGGAGGCTCAGCTAGCTTCTGGGTCTTGCTCTTTTGTTTGTTTGGTTTTTTTCCTACAAAATCTATTCTTCAATCTGAAGTGCTTCCAAGGGCTTTATTTTGTTGGAATTCACAGTGAGTCCACTGTGACTTTTGCTTGAGTGAGAACTTTGAACTGAACTTACTGAGGTTAGTCAACAGCAAAAGAAGAACTGTGTTAAGAAGTTTGAGACTCCAGAAACATCTCTGTAAGGAGCAACAGATGACTATTCCTTGTGACAAACAAATATAATTACATGTTATAGGATTTAAAGTGAGCTCTTGCAATTGATATTCAGTGAAAAAACCCTGTGTGTTACAATTTTAGTCATCTTAACTAAGTGTTTATAAATATGAACCTAAGGTTATTTTTATGAAATGCAGCCCAGATTTTCCTCTTAGGACCTTGGTTCCCATTTGCAACTTCAAAAGCAAATTATATAACTTGTAAGGATTAAATGAGAGTGAGGAGAGGATCATTAGTGCAGTACTGACACTAATATTTCAGAGACTCTGAACTTTACTTATATATTGAAAATGTTACGTAGAAAAACTTACTTCTTCCATCAACAGCTTTTTCTTTCTCCACATTTATTTGGTTTTACAAAACATTTCTGTTTTTTCTAAGACTCTCATCATGTTGTTCTTTCCACTTCTCAAGTGGGAATCTCTTCTGATGTAGAACGAGTGTTTGGAAGCATTTTAAAGATGCTTTTGGCAGTCTTTGCTGCCTTCCCCTTGAGTCTGTTTAGATGGGGAAACATTCCAGTATTTTTATACTAGTTTACTGTTCTCCTATCCAGATTAATCTGCTAAATGTAACCTAGTGTTCCTTGGAAGTTCTCTGCTATTTCAAATCTTTTTGGCTTTCTGTTTCATCAGCCATATTTTGGCTGTCTAAAAATACTATTGGATCCTTCAAACTAACTCCTTAAAGTTGTTTTGGGGTTTTTTCTGTGGTGGCTGAAGCTCAAACTCTTGATATTTTAGAGGTAAAATATGCTTCCGAAAGTTTCTGCATGCTTGAAGGGTGATCAAATTCCTTTATAAATTGACTGTCAGGTTTGGCAAATACCTCTGTAAAACTTCTTCCATATTGTTGTTGTTATGAACACCAGTCCCAGAGACTACAGTGCCTTTTCACAGAGCCACTATATGCACATTATGTATGCATATGGGTAATCAAAATACTAGAAAGTTCTTCTATTAGCTTAAACTTTAGATATTTCTGTCTAGATATTACCAATTCTGCTAAAGAATATAATAATCCAGATTTCTGTCTCTTTTATTTGTGAATTTAACCTAAAAAAAAAATTATTTTTCATTCTGTTCCTGGTAGAAACAGATATTTTCATGAGAGTC